GGGGGGTGGGGGGGGGGGGGCAACACAATATGGGAGAGAAAGGCACCTCTCAAGAGGAAGAAGGAAAAAGAAAGAAAAATGAGATAACACTGAATGAAGAATATGTTCTAACCCAATCGGATTGAAGGGTCAAGAGATGAATGAGAATAAGAGTCACAGTGGGAAGGATGGCCCGAGTTAAAAAAGACAGAAGGTAGAGAAGATAAGATGAACATAAAGAGAAGAGGGGGAAAAAATACACACGAGTGGACAGACACTAAGCGTGACTAAGAGTGAGACAGGAAACATTTCTGACATGTTGCCTCACTAGAGGGATAGATCGCCAGTAGAAGAGTAACCTTTACCCTTTGAAATGTTTTGAAGAGAATTCTATTTGTTCCACATGTTTCATGTATTGTTTGTTATGAAATGGTTTTCTTGGTTTGTATATTAAAAAAACACATTCCATTATAGTGCATCACAACATTTACAGGTTTGGGTATAAATGGAAGCACCCAGCCGTTTAAAAGATAATGAAGTATTTTGACTTCAAGCCAGTTTTACAATAACACATTTGCCATTTAGAAATGAGTTTGATAAAAGAAAGCCAAAACTACATAGATAAATGGATTAAAATTCAGTCAATCTGCATCACTGGTGAATGAGCTGGAGAGGTTTATTAGAATATTGTGTAATTAATTTGTCATGGCAGTGATGAAGGAGAGACAGAGGAGTAGACACAGTGGTGTCAGCTGAATTTTAATCACATTGATTAAAGACATTGATAGGCAGTCAAAACCACAGAGTTACTGCAACCCTGTCACCATGTCATCATTAATCAGAACCTCTATCGCCCCTGCCGTTTCTCTTTCTTGAACATGTTTTGCTCTTTTTCCCTTCTCCTTTCATTCCTTTCTGTATCCCTCAATTTCCTTTCTCTGCTCTTGTGCACATAATGTCAAAAGGTTAAAGACAACAATGAATAAACTCTTTTTTTACACACGTGATAAACAGGAAATCCCTAGAAATACGTTTTTTTTAATTGTCTAAATTAAACTACAGCATATAGAAGACTGTCAGAACAGTAATTACAAATTCAGAGATTTGACTTGAAAGGACTAAGCCTTGAGACTTAACATGAACTTAGCATCAGAATTGTGAAAATGCTTGCTGCTAATTAAACTTCATTAAACAACAATCTAATCCCACATTGTTTGTTCCTTCTCCTCTCCTTTGTTTTTGCTTTTCCTCATTTTATCTGTCCAACAGGGCATCTACAGTTGCATCCATGGTGTTCAGATTGAAGAGAACAAATCAGCCCTTAACTCACCATCAGCCACTATGAACATGAACATGAACAACACCCACTCCAACATTCTCCGTTTGTTGCGTACTGCCAAAAACATGACCTCTGTACCTGGGGTCAATGGTTCACCTCGCAGCGCACTGGACTACAGCCATCGTGAGTCAGCCGTTTATGACATCAGTGAACACCGGCGCAGCCTAGTAGGCCACACAGACTGCAAGCCTCCACCGTACCTGCCAGAGGACAACATGTTCAGCGACTATGTAAGCGAGGTGGAGAGGACTTTTGGGAATTTGCACCTGAAGGACAGCAACCTGTACCAGGATCATTACCTACACCACCATGGGGGCACGGGATCCGAACTGGCTCTCGGTATGTCGGGTCCCCTGCCTAACCGACCTCGTAGCTTAGGGAGTGCCAGTTCATTGGAGGGGGGGTACGATTGTGACAGCTTAGGGGGAGGGGTAGCGCCCATCTTCACCACCCAGCCAAGGCAGTCGCTGACACATCGGAACAGGGAAAAGTTTGACCTGATTGCGGGTCACCCCACCCAGTCAAGCTTCAAGTCCGGCCTGCCAGATCTATATGGAAAGTTCTCCTTCAAGGGTGGGGCATCCAGTTCAGGGTTTATTGCAGGACACGACAGGTACTGCGGGGGAGGTGGGGTGGGATCAGGAGGGGACGACGGAAACATTCGATCCGACGTGTCCGATATTTCCACTCACACAGTGACCTACGGGAACCTCGAGGGGCATGGCAAACGGCGCGAGGGGTCGGGACTTACTCCTTGTCTAAATCTCTCTACCCAGATAAGGTGAACCAGAACCCATTCATCCCAACCTTCGGTGACGACCAGTGTCTATTACATGGCGCCAAATCATACTACATCAAAAAGCAGCAGGCACAGCCGCAGCAGCAACAGACGCCACAACAGCAGCAGCAGCAACAGCTCCTCAACAACAGTCGGGCTGACTTCCGAGGCTCCATGGGGGTGACTTCCTATTTGCCTGCTTCCGCAACTTCTGGGGTACTGTCCAATGTGGCCCCTCGGTTCCCCAAGGAGCTATGTCTGGGCGGGCCTCTTGGCAACCACTACGGTGGAGGACCTAGCAACAACAAGCTGCTGTCAGCAAGGGATGGGTTAGGAATGGGTCAAGGACAGAGACCGTTTAATGGCTCGAGCAACGGACATGTTTACGAGAAGCTTTCCAGTATAGAGTCTGATGTCTGAAGAGGGGAGTCAGAAACAGATAAAAACGCAGAAAAGAAGCCAACAGACATGCGGAATGATGATTGAGAGAAAACTGAAAAGACAGTGTGTAATTAGTTCCTTCATGCTCACAACAAGAAGAGGAAACCGTGTGTGAGGAACTGACTCATGCTTTCTTTAAGTTATGCGGATCACACGCTGCCAAGCATACGTATGTAAATAGAGAGAGGGGACCTGCCCACTGTCAAAAAGTTGAGATTAGGGGGAAAAATCTGTTTATTCCTCTCTTTTATTCTCGTTTTTTGTATATTTAACTATTTCCCTGCTCCTAACATCAAAACAGCGGCCAATCCAGATGGAGACAACCGTGTACAATCCTTTGTACAATTGTGGATGGAAATCAGTTACTCTTTTTAAGCAACAGGGTAAAACTTACAATAATTGTATTGATAATGTTCCTGATAATAATATTATTATATATTATTACAATGTTTATGATGTTCCATTTGGGCTTGGTTTCTGGATGTTTTATGCTGTTATATATTTGTACTGTAGTTTCAGTTATTAGTTAACAAACCACTTTGCGGGAGGCTTTTTTGATTTGTCAACTGAGCTTATTTGATTGTTAATTGAGTTGTAGACAAACTTGGATTCCATAAGGTTCTTTATTATTGATTATTCAAGTTTATTTTACCAGTATGGAGTGCTGTAAGATGTGTGTACAAGGCATGATTTGCAAAGTACTTCAGCTGTACTTGAGATATCATTGTGAAGGAAATGTATTATCACCTTATTTTTACAGTGTTCCGTTTGTTAGAACAATATTGGTTTAATACACAGCACGTTATGTGCCTTACCAAGACTTACAGAATACCTGATTTACAGGTCATATTGCCATGGTAACTTTCTGGTCACTGCACACAGACTTGTCATTGGATGATTCATATTATTCTGGAAGCTTCCTTTTAATGGTATAAGCACTGATATAGAATATCCAGCATTGAGGAGACAAAGTAGGCTAAATGTGTTTATAGTATTAATCTCAAGAACTAGGTTCTAAAGAAAACCAGATAAATTATTATTCGAATAGCTTTTAATAATAGGAACATAGGATATTTGAGGTTTGCACAACATTGTACAGTACACAGTATCCTCCCTGAGAGTCGAGGCGTGGGGCGTTACATTTGTATGATGTTATCTACAATATAGAAATAAAAATCAATTAATTAATAATTTTTTCTCCACCATCCCCCAATTCTGAGGAAGTCTTTGATCAAGGGGCAAAATAACAACTGTGTCATGGATTTGTTTCTTCTTAGAATGCAGTTAAGTATTGGATATGCTTATCTATACTTTCCTTAGGGAGACGCCAGTACACAGTATGTAGGGTTTTGCAAGATTCTCAGCAAATACTTGCATTTTGTTATGTAAATACACATTTTTTTCCCACTCTGTACAGTGAATAGACAGAAAGGATGTAACTCTACAGATCTATGTTTTACCATATTGGTTAGATGATATTTTAGGAATTACATTAAAGGTTAACAATCCAACTTTGCTGCAAAATGTATCAGTTAAAAATCAACGAACGGACAAACATTAAGAATTTTTCTATGTCCTCCCTACTGTTATTCAGGCTAATACAATCCTTTACTGCACCTGTACAGGAGAAGTGAAATTTTGTACATATTTTAGTTTATGCCAGTCAGTGCTTTTTTTAAATAACGTAAGACATGATAATGGTGGGGATGACTCCAGTTATTTTCCCTATTCTTTTGTTGTTAATTTGCAGTTTTAATACCCACTTATATGAAGTAGAGGTATTTCTCAGGAATTTTGGATGGGCACAGGCAAAAACAAACATATCATTTAGCTAAATTGCCTAATTACCTAAATCAATAAACCAGTGAACTCATTTAATTGGATAAATGAGAGCCATGTGAGGTTCGTTGCAAGTATTTATGAGTTTTTTCCCCCCATCGTTTGCGAAACCACAAATGAACTCATGGCAGGGCAGTCTGAAGACGTTGTCATTTTTTGAACTCTTGGCCCACAGCTTAGATAAAAATCCTTTACTTGAAATTTGTTGTGTTTATTGCAGATTTTCTTTATACATTTTCTTTGTGAATGAACTGTTAGCCAAACAGATCTCCACTTTAAGCACAATATTTATAATATTCGGTTTATAATTGATGTATAGCTATCGATTTGTGAATTTTTTATCTTACCTTTCTGCCACATTTTTTTTTTTGACTCAGTTGTCTTTGTGTGTAAGAGTTTGTGTTTAAGATGAGCATGCATGTCTTTTACTTATTTTATTGCCATATCTTTAGCGTTTCATACATTTATGTCTATTTAAATATCATGCCTGCTCTTTGTGGGTGCAATATGTTGATAAACTGTGCATCATACAGGTTCGGGTTGTACAATAGATGTGGTGTTTCCAATGAATTGATAAGATCTTTGAAAATGGATATGTATGGAATAATAACTCGTTAAGGAAATTAACCGGCAATCCCAAATTTGGGTGATTTTGCTAGATTTCGTAAGGAATACTGCCATTAGTTAAGCATAAGTTTTGAAAACCATTCTTGTGTCCATGTAAGGCTAATTTTGTCTTTTTTGTCACAAGATTTTTTCATGATACTTTTCTTTGCATGGTACCATTTTTCTAAAGTACCCTTAATATTTTTTTATGCTTGGTCTGTTTTTCTGATTTTAGTTTTATTTAGTAAATAATTTAACGATATCTCATAACAGTGTGGCATTGCTTTAAGAGCTATAGATGTGGTAACAGACCACTGCATTTCCTGTTAATCTCTGTGTTTGTACCGCAGAGTCGAGCCAACAGTTTTTAGTAGTAGTACTATGTAGAAGTAGTATTGTGTGATTGGGTGTGAGTGTCAGGGACAGATGCCTTTGCTCTTCCTGAAAAGCTTTCCGGTTTTAATTCTCACTTTAAAGATGTGGCCTTGTAAAAGCACGCTAATATAACATTTGATAAACACAGGTTAAGTGTGAGATGACATTTGCAGCAGAAGATACAAGGGAGATGGGCCGATAAAATGGGCGGACAAGGACGGAGGTATAGTAGCCAGTGTTCTGTGTTATTTCAGTGTTTTATTTCCCTTTTCATTCATTCTCATTTGAACTAATCTCTTTCTTTATGACCGGTAGGATAAGACTACACTAGTTTGACTCTATTTTACTGGTTTGTCATTTTAATGCCCTCCCCAGTAAGGTACGTCACATATGATTGTACATGTATCTGAAATCATATGCTTGATTACCTCTGTATGCGAGTGGGCATGTGTGCGCGCAGGTGTTTGTGTGTGCACATTTGTCTGTGCAAGTGTGTGTGTGTGAAAAGGAAACAGAGCACAGTGCAATGGTTATCTACTATGTCTGCTGTAAATAATTATGTCCCCTTTCAATAGCCTTTTAATATATGAAGACAAATATTTAAAATAATGAAATTTGAGATACATTTTTGTCTGGAAGATTTTTTATAGCCACATGGGGAAAAGTTATTAGACCACTGGACCAGGAGCACAGTGCCATTCTAATAGCATTCGAGAACCAGAATTTAACACAAAATTTACACCTCTGTTGTCTTCAATTCTGTCCTTCTTGTATTTTAACCACTTATTTTAAATGTTACTTATGGATCAGAACTGTACAGATTCTGTAAATATGACAAAAATGGTTTCTTTTTTTCTGTTTTTGTATAGAGAGAGATTACATGTGTTAAGACTACAATAATAATTTAATGAGACATTTCACAATACTTAAGCTATTGAGAATACAGACACAGTGTGAAAATAAGTGCTAAGATATATTCTTCTGTCTCTTTGTACAAAACAGTGTTGACTAAAAACAAAATAAAAGGGAGATATCTCAAGCCTCATAGTCCTTCTGTGTTTTTCCATACATCTCCAGCAGCCAGAATCTGAGGGGAAATGGTGACACTCCTTTTTTTCTGTGTCATCATGTGCCAGATATGAATCTCACTTGCTTTTCACGTTGTTAATATGAAAATTGTGAAATTATTTGATAATCATTTGACTATTCAACACAAGCTTAGGTTTGCTTCCTGACATAATGTACATGGAACGTGAATGAGAGCTTCTTAGCCACTGGTGTTGCCTTGGATACGTCTGGTTCACAGCATCATGAACAAACTGCAAGCAAATACTGATGTCACTGAATTCATCTCTCATTTCTGTATCTATCGATTCATGTCAAACATATTCTGATTATTGATTCCCGTATGAAAGTGCTGTTTCTAATCATGAGGATGTCGTACATGCTGTTTATTTTTTAAAGTAATAGCTGTTTATTTTAAAACTATTTGCAATTCAATATTTCACAAACCTACTCTTTCTATTCCTGTCTCACTCCCCCGCTCTCTTTTTTCCATTCCCCTTTCTCTCTCTCTTTTTCTCTCACATGCTTTCTTAAAGCAGCCAATCACAGAATGCATTGCAACACATGTAACTATTTCTTGACAATTAACTGTTACCTAGCAACTGGACCTTTAGAGAAAGAAAGAAACTCAGAGAGAGAGTGACGGAGGGAGGAAGATAGTGAGAGAAAAAGAAAGATTTGTGTAGTATACTGTGTCTCGGTTTGGGTGCTACAACATAATACACAGAAACAGCAACTGATACGCAACACCCACACGTGTCCATGGCGTCAGGGAGGGAAAAAAAGATGAAGAGAGCTAAACGCAAGCAGGGAAGCTGAAGGAAGGAGTGACAGGTGCATAGATAGAGGGAGTCGTGAATGGAAAGATTCAGAAAGGAATTAATTCAAAAATTAAAGCAAGTCGCAGCTTTCACGTTCATTTAAAGAAGGACTGATAACAAAGAGTTGCTTGTTCATACCTACCAACATTACGTCACACGTCCTCACCAACACACTTTAAGTATGAAGTTATATTGGTAATCGTCTTTAAGTCCTGTGTTGACCAAAAACAGCGGCCCACAGACTTCAAGCACTCACTCCTGTCAAAATAACGCGCGGTGAACTAACCAGCGCAACACTGCCACCATGCGGCCGGAGTTACATAACACTCCAGAGTCATCTCGCTCACATCTGAAGGGGTAGAGGCGCTATGGTTTGTATTTTCAGTTGTTAAAATTACACCACTATGATTCTGACTGTTACATAAGAGCACACAGAAGTATATAATCTGATCTAGCTAGCATGCGTTGAGTTAAATTATAAGCAACTGTGCTCCTCAATGCAGATGTTCGTAATTAGTGTTCAGTATTATTTAAGGGAATTAATGTCATTAGTGACTCGCCTATTAGTGAGCAGCATACTGCTGTTCTCTATTAGAGAGAGTGAAAGTGCATATGTGAGTGATATTTAGTAATGATGTATTTTATATGCAGGAGTTAAAGTGTGGTAGCTATACAATAGGACGCCGCTCTCATATACACAGAGATGGGAACCATGTTTTAATATAAGATTTGGAAGCCTGAGAGAAATTATACCACCTGCCTGACATCATTTATGAAAAGCATGTGAATGGAGATGGTTGACGTGCATAGAGTGTAATATGACAATAATTTAATAATGCAGAACATAACCACATGCTTACCTCTACATAGCCTACATACATACACACGTGAAACAGTGCCTACATAAATAAAAAAGGCTACCAGAGAAGTTAAAAAAACATGATAAAACATTGTAAAACTTGTTCAAATTAATAATTTACTAAAAATGAACCATAAAGTAGTTTTAGTGGTGTTTAGTCATAAAATAGAAATGTTACATTTTTCTGTATATTACTTTCAGGTTAGGCACTGTGCCAAGCAAACCCAAACTGCATAACATAATTGAACATAATTAACAAAATTAAGTAACGTGTCTGGTTTTGTTTACCCAGAACTAAGGATTTCATTTGTAATTAAGTTATCTTAATATGCTCCATCAGAGATATTCAACAAAGAATTAATATTGTCAACCAACCCCTGCAGTTCAATATTTTAGCACAATTAAAAAATGAGTAGTCAATAATAATTAAAAAAACACACAGACACACACACATTGACAGAATTATATTTTAAAGTATTCAAATTTATTCACCTGATTTTATTCCTGTCACACATGTCTCTGGATACCAATACCTAAATGAAGATTCTCCACAGAAAATAATAACTGATTGTATACGGCTTCATCCTTGTTTAGCTTTGTTTGGAAAGAGCTGCAGTGTCTGTTTTTACTCTCAAGGTTTTTTTTCATTTGGTATTATCCTGCTGGGAAAGTTTTCCACAATCAACATTCCCAGCATTCGCTTTTCTGCCAGGGAACTTTAATTGCACCTTTGAGACCCAAACGTGAAGGAGTACAGACAAAAGAAAATGAATGCACACTTATATAGTATACTAACATTTTTAATATGTGAATTACTGTATATTTTATCTCCAATATAAAGGATATTTCCTGAATAACATTAATGCATCTGATTGTAATATTTGCAAATCTTTCGTCTATCCCTCTACCTCTCGCTCTCTTTAACCCTTCCATTTTCATTTTTGAACACTTTGACTCGTCTGGTTCTCACCACCCTGTTCGCAGGACGAACCACTCGAACCACGTAGCGCCGTGGATACTTCGCTTGACTTGGTCCCCCACTCTGAGGAGCCGGTTCCTTGCCATCCCCTCCTTCCTCCCCCTCCTCTCGGTAACCATGATGACGGAGGAAGGGTTCCAGGGTTGCTAGGCGATTGTTAAGATCTGTGATGCGCCTCTGTAAGTGGGAGACTTCTCTGAAAAGATCATTTAGGGACTCTGAGAGAGGACGAACCCTGCGAGGAAGAAGAGAGTGTGAAATGGGGCGAGATAGAAGAGGCTTCTTATGTTTGTATGCATGTGCGAAAACATCTGTAGGCCTACGAGAGAGAAAAGAGTGTATAATCGTTTTTCTGTTTCTTTTGTGAAGTTTTGGCACACGCTTTAAACACACAGCTCTGCAAAAAATCAACGTACCAAGTCAGTCCTCCAAAAGTTCATTATGAATTATTAATGTGAATAAGGAGATTTCATGTTTGTTTTAGTGTACTAACATGTGGGGTCAGAAAGTCAAAAAACATACATTAACAGGACGTAGTTTAATATGACAAGGCTGAGCTTCTGGTCCTCCTAGCTAAGACCTGCCTTACAAAAACTCAAAAGGTCACACCGCCATTGCCTCTAGGTGTGTTAAAACGCTCTGTGCCATAGGTTGACGAGTCCTTTGTACACCACATTACATCCGGCCACTTCACGAATAATAACAAAAGAAAAACAAAGCCTTTTCTCCACAATTTACTCTTCTATGTAGCTTATCTGGTCTCTAACATTTTCAAGGCTAGACTACTGCAAATGTCTTTCTTCTGGCATTTGCCAAAAATCCTGCCATCCTGGCAACGTGTTGTTACTTGCTCTATGCCGTTTACTTATTTTTCTACGTAAACACGCGTTAGTACGTTACGGTATTTGAGCGTTGCACTACTTTTTCCAATGCGCTGACTTGTTCAAGCACGCCTCTTTTAAAAAGCCACGTCAAGTGAAATTAAGTTCTAAACAAGCTTTAAAATGCTTAGCGAGACCCTGCGTTCTTTTTTCATTCCTCTGCTTCTCGAAGTTCGAGTTTTTAAATGCAAAAACACATTCTGTGTGAATGGACATTTCAAATACAAGGTTCTTTTAGCTTCAGCGTTTAAACGGCAGACATTGTAAACCTTCCTCAATAGGACATTTGTTGTTGTTTGTTGTTAGTTTAGTGGTTTAGTTTACAGTGCTTCTTCTTAGTGCTTTAGGCTTCACATGCTTTGTGATCATTAGCTGATCTGATTTGATCTTGTAATTGCTATTTGCTATTTGATTCATACATGTAATTCTTAAGTCACTTTGGGATGCCTTACGAAACAGGAATATAGCCTACTGGAAATATAATGCAAACTATTAAATAATGCATACCATATATGAGAAAATAGCTTTTTATATATATATATATACTACAATATATGCATCGACCAAGTTGGCATATGTTTATATATTGCTACAAATATAAATATACAGTAGCCTATAGCAATGAAGATTAGCGCACTACTTATTTTACTTATTACTTACTTGTAATTTGATATAGTTACTGAGGAAACCTTTTCTGGGATTTTAAGTGCTGTTTCCATGCTAATAGCTTAGAATCAGCATCTTGAAAACAATCTCCTTAGGGCTAGAATGTAAGTCTGTTAAACTGCCGACTTCAGGATAACAAACCCCCAAAGGACGGTGCGTTTTTCTAGTTTATATAAAACAGTCCAACAAGCAGCTTTCATGTGCAAAAAAACTTTTTCCACAAGACAAGAAAGCTTTAGTGAACATACAAAGAGAGATATAGCTGGTTTAACACTCTCTAAGTTGCATGTTATAAAAAAAATATTGGTGGTTGGTTAACACTAGTTGCTTTACTTGCTTTGTACTTTAACACCACAGTAAAGAGTCTTTTCAATGAATTTGTACAGGTATTAGGAAAGACAGCGTGTTACCTGGAGTAGTCTGGCAGAAGGGCATTGGGTTGTGAGTGTAAGAGAGTCTTGATATCTTTGAATATGCGTTTGCCCCAGGCGTCCAACACTCGAGTCACGCTGCGTATGTTAGCCACGTTCACATTCTCCGCTGCCGTGAGGGCAAAGACAATGAGGTTAGTCTCTAATAAGGCAGGCAACCACATGACAAGAGGCTTTCTGATGCTTCAGAATGGTTTTAATCAGGTTTCTTTCACTGGACTACAGGGCTTTAACTTTAAAGAGTGGAATTAGGAGATGTCTATTTGTGTTTTAGCTGGGTTGACAGGTAAGGGTATGAGTTTGTTGGTGTACATAGGTCAATGTGATTTGTATTTTATTATATGCGCTCCATGTACATGTGAACAAATGTGTTGGAAGTTGAGCCAATCCAGACTGATAGCCTTTTTTTCTTCTTTTTTTTTTTACATTGGCCACCACACCAACGATTAAAGCTGTTTTTGGAATGAAGTTTAAAAACACCTAATATTCAGTAATGTGAAATGACCACACTGACACTATCGGATGAGAACAAAACTTGAACTCAATTTATCTGTATGATGACAATTGTCTTCTATAGAGTTGCTTTATAGCTGAATTTATTTCATATTAATGAACTCTGCACCATCTGTTACCGAACTGAATGAATCGACACTGAACTGACTCAAGCTATAACAACACTATTGCCTTCTGTAGAGCTGCTTAAAAGTTGATTTAAGCTCGTTTCATAATTTGATTCACTACCATTAAATTGAGTCAATACTGAACAGAATTGAGCTGAATAATGACACTATCTTCTTTAGAGCTGCTTTATACAGTTGAATTGGCTTCATAATTAATGCACTTTGCAACATTTGCACTGCTACTGAACTATAAACATTGAACTAAACTGAGCTGAATAATGACAGTATTTTAATAGTTTTATAGGGCTGCTTTACAGCTGAATTGTATTCCTTTCATAACTTAAGAACTTTACCAGAATAATACTGTTATTTATTTATTTTTATTACTGTGAGTCTGCTTTGAGATGATCTGTATTGTATAAAGCGCTATAGAAATAAATGTGACTCGACTTGACATGCAACTTTTTCAACAAGCAAAGTACTAGGCCTGCACAGAATCAATTCAGATTTCATCAGATTTACTCAAAAATTAAATGGCTGTTATTTATATAATTATACTCACCTAACACCACTTGCATGTTTGTTTATGAAATATTAGGCTAAATTGATATTACTTTCAGATAGCAATAAGAATGCTGTCTCACCTGACACATTTTACCATTCTTAAATACATTCTGCACAATTTCACAGATTTGATCATTTTATAATATTACCTCCGTCTCTGTAGTTCCAATTCCCATAATCCACTTCATTGCTCATCCCAAGACATGGAGACAAAAACGCCACAACCATCATAGGCACCATCATCGTTGCAGTCGAAACGGTCATGGTGAAGAAGTGGCTGAGTTTTAAAGGAGAGGTAGGAAAAAAATATCAAAAAGTTAAACGAGTACTAAGAACACTCTCAATGTAAGGCAAGAGATTTAAACCTTTACCCTGCCAATACATCTGGCACATGGGAGAGCACTTTGTTTTTTTCCAGGACAAACAGCCAGATGTGTTTTAGGGGCCGATGATACTGTGGAAAATTTCAGTGCAGAGGCCTGCATTTTTATATGATCGTATCCTCTATGTTTCATCATTTCTATATTCCTTGTTTTTTTTTCTCCTCATGATACTTTCCAGGGCTCTTTGTTGTTGTTGTTGTTGTCTTCTACTTCTTTTTTTTATTAGAATTTAGTATTTAAGTTAGAAGCACAAATCCCATATTTCTTTCTATTATAATATTTTAGATTTCCTTTTCAAAAATAACTATGCTGCAGTATCCAACTATTAAAATCATAATAATTTTGACTTAATCTATTGAAATAATATTTAATTAATTACACTAAAACTATTTTTCATTTTTAACTAGTTTTGTTTACCAAACATTATTAATACATTGACAACCATTAAAATGGTTACACTCAAGGGCATTGATTATTTCGACTGTACATCACGGTGTAACGTAAAAAAAAAAATCCACATTTTCAACTCAACAAAATGTTATTCTCTGGCTGTTTGAAGAAGGAAAAAATGACTTTAATTTTTTTTTTATGGGTTTCATGCCTTCTTTTGTGCCGTATCCATGGAAAGTGCCTCATGCTCATCACTTCCCAAGAACAATCACGCAAGTGTCGGGTATTTCCACTCTATTAAATGACTGCGATCAGATCACAAAATGACTCGAGTTCATTCAGGAACACAGAGGGGAGATGGATGACGGGCTGATTGTCTTGTGACTGGCCTAACTGATAGCAAACTCAATTAGCTTATTTGAAAGAAAATCTCCTTTGTGCTGGAGCCACAAGGGCCAATGCCACAGAGAGCTCTCTGAGGTAAGATTACTACGAATAGGCAGAACTGCTAAAAACATGGTCATTAGACTAAAAAAAGCCACATTTCAGAGAAATGCTGCAGGAAAGCAGAGAGAAACTGGAGTGACTCCACACTGAGAAGGAGTCCAGAGGGGACTGAGAGCTTTACATAATATTGAACTTGGAGATCATAATTGACTTTGTAGAGTGAGTCACTAAAGAGGCATTTCTCAAAATGGCTCCACGTCGTGGCGCAACACATATCTGGATGTGCTCAGGAACTCGAAAATCACAGGATTAATGTTTGATCAGGACACTTCTGTCAGTTTTTACACATTTTTTTTCAAATCACGCAGGCTTTAAAATGCAGAGAGAAGGAACTGTCAACTGACATGCAATAGGAATATCAATCAAACAATTACAAAAGACATACATCCACTAACACTTGCTGTAACATTGATTTTTGATGCTTTATTAAATCTAGACCGATCCCAAAGCTAGATACAAGGCTTTATCCAACAGAAAGAGGGGAAATAGCAGGGTAGTAAAACTGCAGGACACAGATTAGTGGAATATTATAGAATAAATTTTTACTTTTAATGGTTTGAATTCTACTAAAGTGCAAATTACTTACTTTATCAGGGAATGAGATGTGTCTTTCCTTTCTCTTTTTTTTGTGCTCCTCTGCTGTGATATTGCCGTCCTGTCCACTTCTTCTCTCTGAACAGCGTGTTGAAGTCTGTTGACCGTCAGTGTGCAAACACTTAAACTTCTGCATAAGAACTATGATGCTGTGTACATTTACCTCTCTCTCCTCTGTCTTATTCTTCTCCCTCCCTTCTGTACTTTTTTCAATTTTTTTCTCTCTCTCCCACTTTCTTTTTCTCCTGCATCTCCTTTTCTTTCTTTCGTTCTTTCTCTCCTTCTCTGTCTCTTTCTCCCCCTCTCTCCATCTGTTGGGCTCTGTCTTCTCACACCCTCCCAAACTATCACTCTTTTCCAGATGTGCACCTTTTCTTTAGATTTATTTGATGTTTTTCTCCCTCCAATCATTTGCCCTTTTTCTCTTATAGTGACACACACTCAAAACAGACCTTACATATTGAATAGTGATGACCTTAGACATAATGGCTTCCATAATACAATTATAATGCCCTGCCTTTAAACCAAACCCTTACTAAAATCTCTTGACATTTTGAAGCATTCTAAATATTTCAAATATTATGAGTGATTCAAATTGTGATAACCACTTTAAATGTCCTCATCAGTCAGTTTTTGACCTGTTTCACTCTATGCTTGAGGACGTTTTCTCACAAGTATAGCCAAATCTACACACACACACAGACAGACAGAGAGAGAGAATCTAACAGGTTAGCAGAGCAGTCAGTCTCATAAATCAGGTCTCACATGATTTTTGTTATTCAATCAAAAGGCTCTTGAACATCGCTGAGCAACAATTGCATCAACTTGCATGTGCCTTTCAGTTGGAATGCTCTTAATTAAAAACACTGCATTCATAATTCAGTCTCTACGTCTCACAGTATTATTTCCATGGTTACAGTGGGTGAATTTTTGTGGGCCAATACAATAAATGTCTGAATTAAATCTAGTTAAACCTGGATAAAACAATGTCCAGACTTATATCTGTTTTACCTTGATGAAGACTTGACCATACTTTTGTATTTAATACAAGAAGACCATTCTTTACAGTTCATTCATATAAAAATTGTCCAGACCTCACTGTACTGTTTTTTTCTGAAGTGTTGTTTAAAATCTTGTACAATCACTTCAAAAAAAAAAAAACACTTTTAAGGAAAATGACCAAAAACTTATATAAACTTACTATACGTTTAATCTAACTTATGGCCATTTATATCCAGGAGCCTGGTTTAAATTCATAAATATATACAGCATAATAAATATACTATACTTCTTCTTCTTTTCAGTCTTCTTCCAAAGCTTTTCTTTCTCACAAAAGCAGCCTGGAATTAACCTTTTCTTATTTTTTGTTGTTGTTGTTGTATTGTAGTCCTTTACTGTCATGCCTCTATATGTGTTGATTTTGTCTCTCATTATGACTGCAGAGACAAGAAGATGAAAGAGACGGAAATATTTTTATTCCCTGGTATCCAGATGTTATATTTGTTGTGCCTCTACGCGCGCTCTCTCTCACCCTGGTCTGTTTTTGTGGTATGTGAGGTCAGTTTTGCCTGGCTTAGGCTTTTAAGAGTATGTGAGTATTCCTTTACTTCAGCTCAGAAGTCACAAGGCACTCATGCACCTGTTTCTCATTAAACAAGGCAATTTTTCACCTCTAACTGAATTCCTTTCTCTTCTCTTCACCTCACTCTCTATATATCTCCCTATCTCAGTCTCTTTATCTTTATCATACAAATGGAGCTTGAATATTCAACTATTTCAAATATGTAAGGTGTGTGAAATCCATATTAATGGCTGTATTTTGTTCTTATGTGAATCTTTTTTACATATTTGTACGTCTTCACTTATAACACTTAAACGTATTTTTATCTGTTATCTATACAAATCAGAGATTATATATTTTTCTATATATACAGTAATATTTCATTTAAAGTCATACTAAACTAAGGAAAAAGTGGGAAAATATTCTGTACTGGTGTTTTTGATTTATCTGCCCTGGCGCTAATTATGTGTAGCCTATTTCAGTGACAGTGATGTAATCATTACGTAATTCATTTTTGATGATTTTGGAACTCCTCTTTATTTGATGCAAGTCAGGCGCTCGCTCACAAAGTATCGAGCTGCCACCTGGTGGTTAAAGTAGGCACACACACACACACACACACACAAACACACAAACACACGCGCACACAAACCCTGTCAGCCGAGTTTTATATGGGCATACCAGATAACGTCATGATGAATGATACTGTGTTTCATCATAAAATTTAAAATAACAGTTAAAATAAATAACTTTTTACCACAACAACAATAGCAATGTACATGTGAGAACTGATTTACAAATCATAATTGCAACCGCATTTCAAACATTTTTAGTAATTCATCTATTTTTCTAGGCTATTATTAGTCTGCTTTTACATTGCTTAATGCTTATATATTTTGAAAAATTACATTCTTTCCCATAGGCTACATTACTAAGGTTATTATAATCATTATGTCAGTCATTGCCATTTTAAAAGTGAATCCCGCATATATAATGAGTGATGAGGGATTTATATGTCATCATATATTTGTTGTGTGTACAGGACCGTTGGTCCTCTTAGCCGCAGGAAAAACAAAACTTTAATTCAAGTTCGGAATGGATTATCCTAGGAAGCGCGCAAATAGCGATTCCTTTATAATAACTAAGCTGTCACTCACTTCAGTTCATCACGATCTCACAAAGTTAAGTTATAATCAATAAAGCTCTCTACACTGCATAATGAATGTATTTCTTACATTGTGTATCTTGTTACAATGAGAGAATCACATGTCCAATCAGATGTGTTTAAGAGAACGACAGATATGTCTGTGATTGGTTACATTACTCAACCCTACAAAATACATTGTAAATAGAAACGTTTGATGCTCTGCAAAAGCTCTGATGCTTTTGTGAATGTCCTGTTTCACTGCCTGAAAAAGCTATAACCATTTTAAAGACCTCAAGCTTAAAGGGTTAGTTCACCCAAAAATGAAAATTAGTCCATAAATTACTCACCCTCAAGGCATCCTAGGTGTATATGACTTTCTTCTTTCAGATGAATCCAGTTATATTCTTTCAGAGTTATATTAAAAATGGTCTTTGATCTTTCAAGCTGTTTAATTAAAGAGTACCAAGACAAACCATTTTTTTTCAGTGGATTAACTTGCACGGATTAATTGTTCACATCAAGATTAGCAATGTGCGCTAGTAAAGTAAATAAAGTCCATTTTGATTTCATGCGGACTTTACCAGAAGCAAAGGAAGCAAAGCAAAAACCAGCCTCCTCTTGGCTTATATCGAAATCCTCCCACATTCTTCTTTACAAATCCTCGTTTTGTACTTCTAATAAGTGACCGTTGTTTGTTTTGATCTCTCCCCTGCGCTTCCGCGTGCGTCACTTCTGAGCGGCGCATGCGCAACGCCGACCTCATACGTCATCAGCCCGGAGCTGCTTCCGTGTACAACAGTGAGCGCAAGCTAGATTAAATTGATTATTACGTTTTAAATATGGTTATTTTTCTTACAAATATGCATCGATTCGCTACAGGAGAACTTTGTTCATCCCCTGGAGCATTGTGAGACATTTTTTTATGGATGGGCGCTTTTTATTTCACTTATTTTGGACTGATGCACTGCAACACCCGCTGAGTGCCATTAAACAGCTTGAAAGATCAAAGACCATTTTTAATATAACTCAGACTGGATTCGTCTGAAAGAAGAAAGTCATATACACTTAGGATGACTTGAGGGTGAGTAATTTATGGGCTAATTTTTATTTTTGGGTGAACTAACCCTTTTTGTGCACACATTTCAAGAAACTACATTTCCGTGTTGAAACCTTGTTTAAAACCGTTTACATTTAGATCTAGAATTGACTGTTATCAATACCAGCCAAAGAACAACAGTTTTGTAAAAGGGAATCATTTAGGAAGTGAGTTTGTGAAGTGAGAGAGGAAGTGGTTTTTGAGATTCTGAGATTGTACCTCATGTGAGGATCCTGTGAACATCCACTGTGGTGTAATATGGCTTAACTTCTCAAGTTGTCTGGACAGAAAGCAGTTGTTTACCGCTTTGATGAAACAACAGAGAGAAAGAAAAGGTGGCTCATTTTGTTTCAAATGAAAGGAAATGTAAATTTCGCTCAAGGATGTATGCAGCCAAGCCTGTCCTGTGTTGGATCGTAATTCTGTGCTGTTGGCAGGAAACTCTAGGTATTGTTGATCTTAATTTATGTCATTACAGTGTGTGTTTTATTTAATTTGTATTATTGTATTGCTGGATTTCTCACCCACACCGTCTTAAGCTGAATTAGAATCCATAAGTTATGAAGATATCAGGAGAGCACAGATGCTTCAATAACACCATGTTCTCTTCTCCGTTCCTCCAGCCAAACCTACAATCTCCATGCTGAACAGAACCAGAGTGGCACTAGCAGGGGAAAGTCTTGACTTCATCCTGTCAGTTTTCATCCCAGCAAACTACACCACTAGCAAACTTGTATGCCACCACACTCAGAACATGACGAGAATTTGGAATAAAGAACTTAAAAGTGAATTATTTGAAACTACACAGTTGGTGAGGGCACATATCAACATGCACAATAGCTCCAGTTCTGGAAATTACTACTTTAGTTATGCAAATCAGGAAGTGCATTGGGTGGTTCATGTGAGAGGTGAGTCTGCAGATCATTTTATTACCTCTCTATGATTGAAATTCACTGCCAATTTATAATCTCTTAGTCACAACTTAAACATTTATAAGTATTAAAATACACACAAATCTTGAAATTAATAGAGTTTTTTTCTTCAGAACCTTTTACTTGATAGGTTTGTTGCTTGTGAGCCAATAGATAGGCTGGACAGATAAATAAAAAGGTGCATTAAAAAAATAAAGACATCATGTGAGTTTGGCCATGTGACATGTTAGACTGAAACTGCCACTTTCAGCGAAAGAAAAGCAGTGATGCAAAAATTGTGTCTGAAGACAATGTTCCTCTTCTGTTCTCTCTATTTCCCCCTTGTTTCTTCACTCTTACCCCAATTCTGTGTTTTCCAGATAAAGGTTATCAGGAGCCACCTGAGGTGTTAGACAGTGCCATCATCATAATGATGGCATTCTCAGGAATTCTTCTCATCTTCACTGTTGCTGGGTCACTTTACATATTAAAGAGCTACAAGGTAACACTTGGCCACACATCGTGTCATTAGAGCATACTGTAATAATTCAATCTATCTATAATTTGTCTAATGTAAGTTTCTTTAATTCTGCACATCTGAAAGGACTCAATCTAACAGTGAGGGGTTATCCACATGATCAGCCACAACATTAAAACCACTGACAGGTGAAGTGAATAACTTTGATTATCAGTGTATAGGGAAAGTCCTAAAGAATTTTGGTATCTGTAAAGGCCCTTTCACACCAAAAGTGAAATTAATAATAAGCCTCAGGCTAAAGGAAGTACCTCTGCTCTGGCTAGCCTGTCTGGTCTATTCACGGAAGAGCTACTGTAGCTCAAATTACTGGAAAACTCAATGCTGGCAATGACAGAAAGGTGTCAGAACTCACAGTGCCTCACAGTTTACTGCGTATTAGGCTGTGTAGAGAGACCGGTCAGAGTGCCCATGATGACCCCTGTCCACCACCAGAAGCAATTACAATGGGCACATGAGTGTCAGAACTAGACCATGGAGCAGTGGCCTGATCTGAAGAATCACTTTTTCTTTTAGATCAGGTGGATAGCCAGGTGCGTGTTCCCTGCTACACTGCAAAAAAATTTTATGGAATGATTTGAGCAACATGAAAAAAGAGATGAATATGTTGCCTTGGTCTCCAAATTCCAGATTGAGCATCTGGGATGTGCTGGACCAACAAATCTGATCCATGATGGCCTCACCTTGCAACTTGTAGGACCTAAAGGATCTTTTGCTAATGTCTTGGTGCCAGATGCCACAGGACACGTTCAGAGGTCTTGTGGAGTCCATGCTTTGGCAGCACAAGGGGGACCTACACGATATTAGGCAGATGGTTTTAATGTTGCTGTGGCTGATCAGTAGATATGGACTCATGACTAAGTGGTAAATTGTCAGTTCAGAAAAGATCATCTTTCTGTTATTATGCAAGATGCTCCAGATGGACTGTCCAGAATTGCATTGATTGCAAGATGGTGTTATGACCAAAAAAGGGCACAAGTGTACTGTCCGGAAAAACACATGTGATGCTGTTAGTTTCAGCTCTAGTTCTGCTTCATTATTTTTAGGAACACCCTCCTTGTAGAGATGACAAAAATGAAGTTGTAGAGCAGAGATCAGGGGAGAGTGATGGAGTGATTTTGGATGAAGATGCTGCATCTGCATCACTCTACACAGTGAGATAACAGTCTGTTTCTCTTTTGGATAGTAATCATTTGCTCTCAGTATTTGCCATTTGTTGGTAACCTGGCAACCTGTTTTAATAAGGATTTTAAATGATGTCTCAAATAAATTTCTGTCGTCTTATACTCCTTTCCAACAGACTCTACAATGCAGATCAGACTCTATTTATGATACACTGCATTCAGACACGATGCATGTAGAAAACACAAAGAAGACAAAATCAGAAAAGGTTTGTTTAACACGGGTTTGTTTAATAAATGGTGTAATATTACATTACATGTATAACCTATAATGTAGACCTAACAATATGCTTGTAAATTGTAATATATAACTTCAAGTATTAAATATATAAACATTGAGCGCATAATAATTATAGCATGTTTTTACTGAACATATAATCATGCAGTGAAGACACTTCATGACATACACAGATTTTAAATATGTAATACCTACAAGCTCAGACAGAAAGCAACAGTAAAAATAAAGCATTCAATAAAAAGGAATCTAATTCATGATTATCATATGACCTGATGAAATATATTTGGTGAAAAAAGAGTTGCGTTTCAGAATATCAACCGTTTCTATTGCTGTTTTCTCTTTCAGCACTGCAATGCACAAGAAGATGGTGTATTTGATTCTGTTTATGAAAACCTGTGAATGAAGGAATGATTGAGTTAATGAATATGATTTATGAATACCTGCTGGAATGTGCTTAAGCGTCAAATAAAGATTTTTTTGTATAATTTATTATTTTATGGGCCAGTATGACAGAAGATAAATGAAAGATCAAAACAACTGAATATGTGTCGTTTTTCCCCAAAACTCATCAAACCTTTCGCCTTCTTGCATAAAAAGCGGTACATTTTCTGCAGCCCGTGAAAGCTCCGCCCTCACGCTGTGTAAACCAATCAAACGACATCTTCAGTTGCGTGTAACCAATGGGAACACTCGTATCCGAACTTCCTGTCTGCTTGCTCCTCCTCCTGAAGTGTCAAAATTAACAATGGCAGCCGAGGGAGATTTTCTGATGCGCTACCGGGCGGTGTCAAATAAACTGAAAAAGTAAGAGCTAAAATATATTACGAATATTACTAATACACGAATGTTTTAATGGTAGACCATTAATGTTATCTACAATACTGAGCATAACCAAAGAATGTCGTGAGAGCACTACACAACCCTCACTAGCATGTTGCTAATTAAATTTCAAGAGCTACTAAATGAGGTTCACAACAATGCGATCTATTATTGTAAAATTTACAGAAGATTTAACGTTATGCATGAACAGCTGAGGATGACATCTTGTAGGTGTTTAATTTCAAAACAGCGGCTTCGAATAACGAGCTATTCCAGAGTATATAAAGTGTCAAATTAATCTACACTCTTAAAAATAAAGGTGCTTAAAAGGTTCTTCACAGCGATGCCATAGAAGAACCATTTTTGGTTCCACAAAGAACCATTCAGTCAAAGGTTCGTTAAAGAGCCATCTCTTTCTTACCTTTTAATAATCTAAAGAACCAGATGTTAAAGGTTCTTTATGGAACCATTTAGACAAAAAGGTTCTTCTATGGCATCGTGAAGCACCTTTATTTTTAAGAGCGTAATTTAGTGGCCTTTTAATATTTTTTCCTTCCCCCCTAATCACAGACGTTTTTTGCGGAAGCCTAATGTCGCTGAAGCAAGTGAACAGTTTGGTGAGTATTGTGTCAGAAGAGTGATGCTGTGTGCGGTAATGCTAGTCTGTGTTTATCATTATATGGCATCTTTCCTCAGGTCAGCTGGCCAAGGAGCTCAAACAGCAAGACTGTCCTCAATATGCTGCCTTCTGTAATCTCGCCATGGCCCGGTAACACAGCATCTCTCATAACTATCAATTCTTCATCCTAGTTTCTGATCTAAAGAACATGTGGAAATGGTTTGTCTGTCTTCGTAGCTGTGAGCAAACCCTGTTCAATGCTCCAGGAGAAGCCCTGGCACTGACAGATGCAGCCCGACTCTTTCTGGCCTCGGAGCAGGAAACCCGAGCGCTGAGGGCTCCCGGCTTCGATGAGAATATGCAGGCAGCAATGAACTGCTATAGTTTTGCTATTAAGGTATTTGTCGGAAACGCATATTTTACCAGATACTTACACTCAAGCCGATAAGCATATATAAACAAACACAGGCTGTTATTTTGCAGAATGTTGGGCTCAGTTCATACTTGAAATAGAATGAAAAGTCTCTTATAATTTTATATTTTCAATTTAAAATTAGGTGATTCTCCTGCTCGGCGTAGCCTGACAGTGGCATCTTAGTATAATTGAGATATTAATATACTGTTTTTTATATTTTCTCTTTTCATTTTGTTGTGTTTTTCTTATATTTATTTTTTTAAACAGATCTACATAATTTTATTAAATGTTTCTTTCTGTTTTAGTTATTTTAGTACGTCAAATGAAATAAAACAAGATTTATATAGCATTTATTTAATTTCAAGTAAGGATTTTTTTTTTGCTTCCAGTAAGAAAAAGTTTTTTTTTTTTTAATGGTTTTAGTTTTAGTTAATTATAATAACCCTGGCCTGACAGAATCATCAAGCGTAATATTACTTACTATTCACTTTTATTCACTATTACTGTTAGAGTTAGAAGAAGAGAAGATGACCATGAGCAGTTAAACAACTACTATAAGCAGAGCTAAATATTTTCTAAAGTAACAGTTCACCCCAGAAAGAAACCGTTTTAGCTCAATTTTGCCTGCAGCTTTCTACAGTTTCACATGTTTCATGTTGAAATGCGCCTAAAAAATTGATTTGAAGTCATTTGAAGAATACCTCTCTGTACTTGACTAATGAAGTAAAAAGCCTACAATCTTGCAATCACATGCACATTTTGTGTTTTAAAAAAAAATTTTTTTTTAGATGTTATACTGCAAATATGTACTTATATATTGTTTAGGTCTATATTGAGATGAATCAGCCTGTTATGGCGTCCAGTCTCTCACTGGAGCTTGGCAATGCTCTGAAGGTGAGACATTAATCATTGTAATACATGGAGCGGCTTTCTGTTTATAAATGAATTAAAATAGCATATTCATCTTGGTCCACGGTGCTTAATCATGTTGTGGTCCTGTTTATATATTTGTGTGTAGGAGATGAACAGACCCGGGGAGGCGATAGTTCATTTCCAGAGAGCCGCGGAACTGCAGATTCAGACTCCAATTGAGGCCCTGCTGTCACTGTGGGAAATGGCCTCCTGCAAAATACTGACCCGTGAGTTCAGAGATAGCAGTGCTTTCCTGCCAGAATGCAATGATTCGTTTTGGCATTGAGTTTCAGATGAAGTTCTGTGGTGGTCAGAGCAGTGATGTGATGTTTGATTGGTAGGCGATTACGATGGCGCTCTTGCTGTTCTCTCTGAGATGCAGCACATGTGTCAGGAAAGAGGACTACAGCTACCCGGGACAAACACCCCTGTCGGTATGAATGTAATCGACTTCCACAAGACTATACAATTAATCTTAGTTTTGAAATCTAGGCGTGTGAGGTTTGGTGGTCTAAGGTCAGGGATTTTCACCAGGCTTTGCAGTTTATTTGGATTTCCTGATCAAACCCTGCAATCACTTGCAGTTTATAAGCAGAAGTCATGTTATGATGTTTTGTGACTGATTTTCATACTTGTCAAGGATCTGTTTTGCATTGCAGAGTCAGCAGTCTTTCAGTTTGAACATCAGCTATTAAGGAAATGAAGCATATGCTGTAAAAATCTTTGGATTCTGCTTCAATTCTGTTTGTTTTCATTCCAGGTGCATTTATGGATATCATAGCAAAGTGTGAAATCTCCAGGGTATTACTTCTTATGCTGCTTGAGGTAAATTATATATTTAAAATCTGTGAGGTTTACAAATAAGCTCACATTTCGGACAATATGTTAAAGGGGTCATAGGATGCTACATGCACTTTTACAAGTTGTTTGAACTGAAATGTGTGGAGCAGATGTAGACAAGAATGACTCCTAAGCGATTGAGGTGTTCTGTTGTTGGATGTAATAATGAACATAGCAGTCGTCATTTTACTTCCGACATCTGAGCCGCTGAAGACGCAGTGGATTATGTTTGTTTTTGAAGGGAATGCGCCTCCGATCTACCTAAATGCGTCTATGTTCGCGCGAATCATTCGTGATCCAGCTTCACCCACAGAAGAAGTGAGTATAAGGTTTTTTAAAGAATCTTTGCAAATCGCCTTTCCTATGTGCTAATTAGCAAGTTTCACGAAGTAAACAGTCTTTCTGAGAGCGGCTGGGAAGAGAGGGGCAGGGTCAGCAGAGCTCATTAACATTTAAAGGAAAATGCTACAGAACTGCATGCTGTGAAAAGAGCTGTTTTTGACAGGGTAAAAAATTTGTTTTTTACACTACCATTGAGAAATTTTAACCAAACTATGTTACAGACTTTCCATTAAGACCCTAAAGAATCATATCAACTTGTGGAAAATGGGCATCCTATGACCCCTTTAAGAAACCAGACCTATAACGTTAGTGTGTTTGTTTACTATGCCCAAAAATGACACTATATATTTGTGTCTGTGTTTTAGCCTCCCCCTCAAAAGCTGTTACCTGAGCACGCTCAAACACTAGAGCGATACGCCTGGGAATCCTTCGACTCACATAGTCAGGGTAAGACTTTGTAGCTAATGGAGAACCAGGCAGGCACAGTGCTTTATTTAAAAACTGTTGTTACTGTCTGTCCTTTAGTAAACTTCCTTCCAGAAAATGTGTTCCTCCTTCTGCAGTCAGTTGTGGTGAGTATTTAAAATCTATTTGTAAAATTAATTTGTTAAAATATACTGTCTGAGACCACATTTAAAATCTGCATTCAAAATCCAATTTAAACCTGGAAATAATCTGGAAACAAGTTTTTGGATTCTGAAATATTCCAAACAATGAAGCATTATGACATAAAATAAGGAAGAAATATATTTTACTAAGAAAATCCTACAGATCAAAAGTGTGGTGTAAGATTTTATTTATTTCTATTTATTTATACTTAAATTCAGCAAGCATGCATTAAATTGATCCAAAGTCACAGAAAAGACATTTATAATGTTACAAAAGATTACATTTTTAATAAATGCTGTTCATTTGAACTTTCTATTTATTAAAATATTTCTATTTGTTAAAAACATGATTTTTAACATGTTTCTTGAGCAGCAAATCAGCATATTAGAGTGGTTTCTGAAAGATCATGTGATGCTGAAGACTGGAGTAATAGATACTGAAAATGGCACAGGGATAAATAATTTATTTTAAATATATTAAAATAGAAAACAGTTGTTTTAAATTGTTGTAATTGTTACAGTATAAATTTTTTTTTACTATATTTTTGATCAAATAAATGCAGCCTTGGCGAGCATAAGAGATATTAAAACAATGAATTTAATTTCAATTTTTTATTTAAATTCTTATATTGATAATATACGTTGTAGTGAAAATTGTATGAACTAAAAAAAAAAGCAAAATAGAAGCATTTTCAGTAGTGGTCTCTGACTTTTAGGCTACACTATTGTCTAAAATGCTATAAACTGATTACTAGTAGAACTCTTGGATTATGATGGCTAAATGGTGTGACTGGTCTGTTTACAGATGGCCTGTCAGGAAAAGGATACAGAATCTCTCAAGGCACTCCAGACAGAACTATGGTGAGCTTTCTGCATTTCCTGACTCATACTATGCATTTATCTATATTAGACTGAAACCTTTGCCATTAGATAACCTTCACCTTTCTCTTCTCTCACAACAGGCCACTCCTTTCGGCAGAACAGAATCATCTCCTCCACTTAGTGGTTCAGGAGCGAATTACACCCTCGGGTCAGGGCATATGATTCAGTGCAATACACCCCCACAAAACAGTTCTTATTGGAACATTCCTATGCCAGTGCCTGGTGCATTTTGCATGAGGACTGTAGAAGGTCACTGAACCTACCAGAGCTGTACATACACGCATGAAAATTTCTCTAATAACAGAAGTTTTCATGTCTCCTATACAAACTCGCTTTAGTGATTTGAATGTATATTTTATTCTCCATTTATATAGTGGTAAGATATTGTGTTGAAAAGGCAAATGATTATGTTGAAGTTTATTTAAAGTTGTAAAATATTGATGTTGTAAATAATAAAATAACAAGAGCAATTCTTATGGCGAGGTTTTTATTTGTGTGATTACTAAAATTAATGTCATCCCTGGTTTACACTGTTTGGCTTTGCATTGAAAAAATATCATCCTTTCCATTTACTGTCATACTGCAACATAAAAATACATCTAGAGCCAGCTAAAACTTTAACCAAACAAAGTAAGCAGCAACTGAATAGCTCGGATGTCCATAAGGAGCTTTTTCCTTGAGCGGATGTTGAATAATTACTCCCATAAAACTATAAATACATATTGACATTTTAAAAAAACTAACAAAAGCATTTTATAAATTCTTTTGGAACATTCTGTGCTCTAGAATTTTACAAGGTGATCATCTGACCACATCAACAATCATTCATCATCATGCTAATCAAAAATGGCTGGCGTAGCAACAGGGCCCATTTCATTATCAAGAAAGCCTTTGTCCACACAGAAATTGCAAATAAATATGTCGGCAGAGGGTCTGTACAATGCAATTACAAAAGGATTGTGTATTCAGAAGTCTACACGATCAAGTGAGTGATCCACAAATTTGAACAGCACCATAATGCATCGCAGTAACAAAGATTTGACCCTTATCTTGACCTAGAGACTATCCTGTGCTATTGCCATCTACAACATAAAAAAAAAAAATCGATGGAAATGAAATAAACCCATGTTTAAGACGAGGCTAATTCTTAAAGTGCAAGTGATGTTTAAAACTACACTTTGATAACATATATTTTTCTGTATGTACTTTATATGTACAACTTATCTTTCTCTTTATACATGTTATAAATAAATTTTTTACATTTCCTTCTTGTATATACTGCATTTTCACCATCTTTACACACTAACCCCTGCAATAAAGTGTTTAGACCCTCTTACTGCTCTCAGTGCTTTGCGAAACTAGGAAAGATGACCCATCAAACCGATCTATAGTATTACTCTAAAAAAAAAAATGGGAAAAGAAGAAAGAAACTTCTCTGGGCAATTTTCTTCAAATGCTGAATCAACCTTTTCTCACTGACAGATTTTAAACTGTTTCAATGAACTGCTGATGCTGTGATTTATTGCGCAAGTTTCTACAATTCCAACCAACGCCGGTAATATTTGAGACAACTCATTATTTTTCAAATTCTGTACTTAGACTTTGAAGAAAAATAATTAAGGCTGTACATTAGCACTGAGAGCGAGGTCTAAAGTTTAATCCGCTCGTTTGCGCAGGATGATGTACATAATTCCAGTGAAGAGGGTCAGCAGCCACCCAAACCAGGCCATGATGTAGGACCAGCCATACCAGCCATTCTTCTCGTCTCTGTGAAAGTGATCGGTATAGACTGACAGAGCCACCATGATGCAGAAACCTAGAGATCCCAAGAGAAATGCATAAATGTACAACAAAAATGAATCTCTGTAGGACCTTTAAGACAATGATCCACACATGTATATTTCAATAATGCCCTAATTTAACCTCAGATTTCCAGAAACGGGGACTTACAGGAGATGAGCTGCACAACTCCAGAGATGGTGAACCGCTTTCCTTTACCCAGAGTAAAGAGTTGGAATATGAACACGCACAGAGAGAACACAGCAAACAGGCAGGACAGCACTGCAAACGCCTGGACCGCTTGCAGATAGTCTAGATAGATGAATTAAAGGGGCATCACATGAATGTCCCAGTCTGTACACTCTTAAAAATTAAGGTTCTTCAGTAACATCCATGGAATGTTTTCATTGTACAAACAGTTATTTAGATTATTAAAATGTTCTTCAGACTAAGTAAAAAAACGGCTCTAAGAACTGTTCACTGAAAGTTTCTTTGGGAACCCAAAATGGTTCTTCTATGGCATCATTGAAGATCTTCTGGAATCTTAATTTCGAACAGTGTACATATACCGTACACAGGGTTTGACTGGTGAAAATAGGCAGATGTACAAAAATGCATATTTTTAACATGGTTTGTCTTACCCTTCCGGTATGAGGTCGGTATGTCCATGTACACCCAGACATTATCATTGTTCTCCATCACCCATCTGCCCCACAAGTCTGTATAAAGGTTCTCTGTGAACCACCATGCCTGGGAAAAACAAAAACCAACAACAACAATACAAACGCCTTCAGATCACAACACACTTTTTTCATACACCTTTTTTTAAAAAGTCTTTTGTCTGCATTTTTATTACACACACACACACACACACACACACACACACATATATATATATATATATATATATATATAGGCTACATATAAAAGAAGAACAACATAAACTTACATCATCTATGGTTGCCCAAAAAAGGAAGACAATTGTAGTCAGATGAAGCAAACAAATTCCTGCCAGGGCCTTGAACATATTCAGAGGATGAGGGGGAAACAGGGTGGAACAATAACCTGCTGTAAGGGAAATATTACAAGACATATCATCTTGTGTTTAAGAAATACTATACATCAAAAGGTCCTGTGCAATTCAGCAGCCATCTGATGATGACTTATTGAGAATAGCCATGTTTTTAGAAAAAAAGTTGCCTTGTATTTAAAGATGTCCCAAGCAAAGCATTGAGGAAGACAGAGGAAAGGAACTTTAATGTCCCTTTTACATTATTCAAAATGAATCTAAGCCTTTCATTCACACAGTGCTTTTAATTGTGTGCTAGTAATAATTAAGCCGTGTGTGTTTCAGGTACATTTGATTTTCCCAAAATGCTAATAACAAAGCAGTCATGGCCTATGACATCACCACATTAAAGCTGCATAAATGTTATGCAATAAACAGCAATTGTTTTATCACTTCTATAGGGTCACTTTTTGTTGGATACTAGCTTTGATTACACAAATCTCCAACGGCTGTTAAACTACAGGATGTGGGAGGAGAAGAGTCTTCTGTTTCTTTAAGTCACAGATACAGTAGGTGAACTGACATGCCATTTAAAATGCTGATGCAAGCTGTTCATACAAACAACAATAATGATTTAAGAGAAGAAATATTGTGTTAAATCTCATTAAATTATAAAAACTATACCAACAGTTCAGAGCAGACCTTCTGCAATGCATTCATATTTTATATTCACTGAATGCCCGTTTAAAATAACGCCTGGTGCGATCAACAATGCATAGACAAAATATTATTTATTGGTAAATTCTAGCAAACCTACATTACATACATTAGACAATGGAAGCTAATGCGAAAGCTCCCGCGAATGACAGATGAAGGAATTCGTGTCACGTCATGCGTTCGGATGCATTTTCTTCCAAACAGTTTTCATTCAGTTCTAAACGTTCTATTACAGTTTGAAATATATTTCCCTTTCTTTTATGTCGATTCTAAGACGCTTAATTGTATCAATAAATACAACCTCATTGGCATGAGAATTCTACAGCGATGGCACAGATAATAAAAGGTTACCTTGGGTATTTTAAGCTCTCAAATTAATTCTTGATTTTCGTAGCCTAGCTGATGCCCCACCATCCGAGGATATTCGCACTTCCCCGCACCTCGTCCTTCGTCCCGCACCTCGTCCTTCGTCGCGCCCCCCTCCCGCACTCTTTGCTGCATAGAGGACCCCACCCATCACAAGGACTTACTTTTAAGTCCTTACGTATCCCACATCCAGCGAAATCCTAGAACTGTATTGTCGCACGCTGGAAATTCATGCACGAGGTGTTGTAAGAGACACACAAACGTTGATTTCTCTCAATGTCAAAAAACAGCCACCAAAACATTTTATTTTTAAATGCCGGACTGCCCAATGTTTAGATGCCCCCTTAAACGCACTGTAAATGACTTTTGCCGAGTGCTCAGTTATTCTGTGCAAGAGTTTGCGACGTCGTCATCCTATTACCTAAAGCTGCGATGTGCTATACAGCGATTTATCCGCATGCCGCAGCATCCTAACTCAGCTCTTCTAGAGACGCACCGCAGACTCCACACGCGCCCGGTGTCGCACTCAGAGCTGCAGGCATAAAAGTGGCTGACCGGGCCAAACGCAGCACATGGCTACCCAACAATAGGGCGATCCCAGAGCCAGTCAAAACCCATCTCTCCAATCACGATAAAGTAGCGCAGAGGCAGAAAATGATGCACAGGTACTTTGCAGAGGTTGATGATGAGTCATCTAAAGTAGGTTTGGAGCGACACCTACTGCGGATTCAATGGAACGGCCTGGTCATGTATATATATATATATATATATAACAACGTTCACGTTGATTCATCTAATTAGAATCCTAAAAAAAGACTGCCTCTTGCTATATGTACAGATCATATGTAATATACAGTACATAAGTGGTAGAATCAATAGATAACGCTTTAAAAATAAAAAAATCGCTATATATAACTTCACAAGTTTCATTTGTGACTGCACTAATAGAGCAAGATAATTTCTTCTATTTGTCCTCTTTCATGGACAAGTACTTCAGTGTAAATGCATTTATATTCCTCATATTCTTTGATCTCTTAACCTTTAAGAAGAGTTTTGAATAGTTCAGCTGTTCAGCTGTTTTTGATCATTCCGAGAAAGCCTGTGAAAGTTTCTCACAATTTTTTTGTGGATAAGATCATTACTACTAGAGCTAATATCCCAATCTCTGCTTCGAATCCGGTCTGTCTCCTAGCTCGGCCTGACTCTTGCACTTCTGCTCAGTTTTCGATGTTTGAGCCCATTTCTCTGTCTGAGTCTCACGGCTGCAGCTAGTACAAAATGCTGCAGCTAGACTGTTGACTGGCACAAGGAAGTGGTCCAGCATTTCTCCAGTGCTGCACTGGCTTCCTGTTGATTTTAGAGTCCAATATAAAGTTTTGATAATGGTTTTTAAAGGTTTGCATGGCCTTGCTCCAGAGTACATTTCATGTCTGTTACAGCAGCACTGTGTTGCTAGACCTCTAAGATCATCACAGAGTCTGCTTTTACATGTTCCCAGATCACGGTTGAAAACCAAAGGTGATCGAGCCTTCTCTGTGGCAGCCCCACGTCTTTGGAATAGTCTCCCATTGCACATTAGATCATGTGACTCATTTGACTGTTTTAAATCAATGTTGAAAACACACCTTTACTCTGTGGCATACAGTTGCCCCTAGCTTTTGGGACACTGAGCAGTGATGGATATTTTGTGTTGGTTTGAGTAATTTTTAGACATGTAAAGCACTCTGGTCAACTGGTGTTGTTTTAAATGTGCTATATAAATACATGTTGATTGATTGATTGATTGATTGAATCTCGCTGGCTCTGTGTTGCAAAGCATGTGATTGGCTGTTTGCCACTGATGTCACACATTCATGTGCACGTGCTCCACAAACTCCGGATTAAAGCCTGAGTTGACAAAGAAAGTTGATCATCAGCATATGGTACCAAAAAAACCGGATGGTACCGGGAAAAACCGGATACAATCACCTACATACAATCCTCTAACCCCTCCGGTTATGCAAGCGACCCTGCTCACTCAGCTCCCTGTCTTTCCTCCGACTCCTCCTGCAAAACCCCCCAAGATGTCGCCATCTCTTAATTGCATGAGGAATAAAATAATGGCAACTTTGCCCTTAGCAAGAGCAGACTTCATTAAAGTCAAAGGTGAGCTATAGCATTGGTTCCCAACCACATTTCAGGAGATTTCTGATTGTAATAATATTTCACAATATTACTGTTTTTATTATTTTGATCAAATAAATGCAAGCTTTGATGAGCATAAGGGACTTATTTCAAAAATAGAAAAAAATCATATTTTTTCCGGTAGTGTAGTTTCTTTGCACATATTATACATAAAAAAGTTTTTTTTGCTCCTCTCTGGTGATATTTGAAGATGCGAAGACAAATACCTGGATCTCCATTCCATCTGTCCCAGCAGCCTGTAATTACACACTCCACTCAAGAGGTGGCGGTGTTGTGCTCTCTTCACCACTGCCTTCCTGCCACACACACAAAAAAATGGTGAACCATATTCCAACATGTTATTGAATCAGTTGGTTAATAAATAAAATAGAATAATAAACCTTAATTCAAAATTGGAATTAAAGGGTTAGTTCACCCAAAAATGAAAATTCTGTCATTAATTACTCACCCTCATGTCGTTCCAAACCCACAAGACCTTCGTTCATCTTCGGAACACAAATTAAGATATTTTTGATCAAATCTGAGAGCTCTCTGACCCTCCCATAGACAGCAATGCAACTGCACTGTTCCCAGGTCCAGCAAGGACATCGATAAAATAGTCCATGTGACATCAGTGGTTCAACCGTAATTTTATGAAGCTATGAGAACACTTTTTGTGCGCAAAGAAAACAATAATGACACAATTATTCAACAATTCTTCTCCCCGAGTTACCATATTCCGCCATTTTGGAAAGTACAGAATGTAATCAACTTAATCAGCGTTGTTTACGTTCAGTAGACAGCGCGTGCATGCTGAACGTAAACAACGCTGATTACAGATGTCCTTACTATGTTTCTGGACCTGGGAACATTGCAGTTGTGTTGCTGTCTATGGTTGGGTGACCATAGGTGCCATTTTCCCAGGACGCGTCCTGGCCAGGATTTGTTTTAGCTTTGTTTTCATGCTTGCTGAAGGTAATGATCGAAAAGTAGTTTGACCAATAACATGCAAGCATTGTACATAATGGACCAATCATGGCGTGTGAGAAGGTGGGATCTACGGTCAAAGCGATGCAATTACGC